TCAGGGGTCTCTGGTCACCTGGCCCTGTGTGCACCCTCTGTCCTCCCCTCTGTCCTTGCCTATCGCCCTGACACCCCAACAGCTTTGCTTGGGCAAGGATCTCCGGCAAGGACTGAGGCCGCTGGTGTAAATGAGGTTTAGAAATCACCCACATTGATCTCCCTTAGCCTTCCTCCTCGTTAATATGGAAAACCCATCCCATCACTCATTCATTCATCAAATATTTGTGAAGCATCTATTTTTTTAAAAGATTTATTTATTTGTTTGTTTATTTATTTATTTATTTATTTAAGAGAGAGCACGCACGAGGGAGGGGGACAGAGAGAGAATCTTAAGCAGACTCCTGGCTAAGCGCGGAGCCCAATGGGAGCTCAATCTCATGACCCTGAGATCATGACCTGAGCCGAAATCAAGTCAGACGCTTAACTGACTGAGCCACCCAGGCGCTGCTGAACCCTGAAACATCTCTTGGATCCCAGGCACTGAACTAAGCCCTGGGCTGAGAGGTTGGTAAGGCTCTGTGAGTTTTAAGGTTCAAGATGACAGGTTTGGGAGATTATTTAGAAATCAAATTCAGAGTTGCCTGAAGAAATTAATCAAAGAATCCAAGTGACTAAAAAGCTCCCCCCCCCATTGTTTTTTGTAAATGGACAAGCATTAGGAAACAACAAAATCATGTCACAAACTTTGTCTGGGGCCCAGGGGATTGGCTTGGTCACAAACGAGGCCTGTAGTCCCACTCACTTAAGGACATTTATTAAGTGTCTCCTGTGTTTATGGGTTTTTCCTCTCCTTCGGGTGTCTGCGATGCAAGGCCTGTGGGGTCATGGGGACAAGCATAAAGCCCAACAGATGCAAAAAAGTTTTAGCAATTTGTTGTACAGCAATATGAATAGAGTTAACTGACCTGTATACTGAAACATGGCTAAGACAGTAAATGTCGTGTTATGTGGGTTTTACCACAATTTAAAAAACGTATGACAGGTTTCTTCCAACATCCCTCCCCTGCAGAAAACAAACCCATTTCCCCACGGACACTGGCTCATGGGCAGAGCCAGGAAAGGGTCATTTCCCAGCACAGGGAAGCCCCACAAAGAGTGTGGGTGGGCAGGGGTCCGAGGCAGAGGAGGGGGGAACCTTGAGGCCACCTCATCTGTGTGTGTGTCACGGCGATGCAGCCAACAAGAGACCGACAAGCCACAGGCCACGGCACCCCACCTGCTCAGCCAGGCAAAAGCCAGTGGCAACCAGCGGTCTCAACATCCAGATGAACACAAATCGAGACTTTCATTTTGCACGTTGTAGAGGAGGTAGGAGTTTTCCTTCTCTGCCTCTCTCCCCTGGATTCTGATCGGTCTGTCAGATGTGTACTTCTTAGGAGCATCTAGTTCTCTGAACGGATAGAATGAGGAGTGGAAAGAAAAAGCCCGTCACAGTTTAAGAAGACCACACAAACATCTCTGTTGGCAGTCTTGCTGTACTCTACAAATTCAAATGGTGACGAGGAACAAAATTAATTGGGGTTCCGTTTTCCATTTCTCCTCAGCTGAGGACCTTCCTGGGCTCATGGGCTGTATAAAGATTAGGATTTAATATCCCCTCTTGTCTCCTACCTCTCTTTTCCTTTCTTCTTATTGAGGACCAAAAAATAGCCAGTTTCATGGGTGTGCAAGCTGTGTTGTGAGTCCCACAGGGTCAGGGCTCGGAAGAGCCCCCCCCCTTGGCTTACGGCTCTGCCATCACCGTCCTGAAATTTTTAATGATTTTTAAACAAACAAGAGGGCCCGTGTTTTCATTTTGCACTGGGATCTGCAAATCATGTAGCCAGTCCTGCTCTTGGTCACAAAAGACACTTTGAGGTGCTTTTCAAGTTTTCCAAATTCTAGCCACGTGCCTCCTCACCCTGTTCCCACTGTCCCATCTGGGGGCACGGTTTCTTCCTGGTCCTGACAGTGGAAGGCAGGCAACATCATTTCTTCGGTGCTCAACCAAAATACCCACCCCCCGTTAAAAATGACAGTCTGTTTTAAAGTAGCAGCCTGAGTCTTAAATAGGAGATAGCACTTTCGTTTGATGCGCTAAAATGATTCAGCTTTGAAGAAAATGAAATTTCCCTATGCGTCCCGTCCATAGCAAAGTCAGGGAAGGGAAGGCTCACATAAGAGAAACGTATTCAGCCTTTAAAACTCTGACACATTTTGGCTCCCACGTAGTATATGCGACCATTTCTGTTAGTACTGAGCAAATTACAGCTACCATCCCTAAGATCCTAACTCATTCATGAAAAACCACCAAAAAGCAAGTTATACCGAACATGGTCGTCAACCAAGCCAACCTTTACGGAGAGGCTTCTCACACCCCCACTCCCAGCCTCATACCCATTGGGGGCTTGAAAATATTTTTGTGAAAATCGCATTTGTTGGTGTTGTTTTCTCAGGGGTAGGAGTGTGGGATCTAAATCAATTTTAATCTATTTCAAATATATTCATTATCATGCACTAAAAGTGAATTCCCATTTTGTGGTTCTCGGAGGAGAGTGACAGAGCCTTGTTTGTGGCAGCCCCGGGCATAAGCAGTCATTGTGTCGCTTAATTAGATATTCCCCGTGCTAGTGTGAGGGACATATGTCTATTCACTGTAACAAACACCAAGAGCGGCCAGGCGCTTTCATGCTTCTGCTGTATGCAGATAAAGGCAACGCCAAGTGCAGGCTCTCCCAAGGACCTGCGGCCCCAGCCGGCCCCAGAACGATCGCCTGGCATTCACCGATTGGTTCCAGTTTATTAACAGCCTATGAACTTCTCATCGGCTCCCGGACTGGTCAGGATTGTCACCTGCAACTGCAACACCAGGGCTGGCTTTCTCCTCAGGAACAGGGAGGAGGCTGGGGCTGGGTCCACAGGGCGGATGCACCCTCGTTTGGAACACAAAGGACAATGTATCTGGGGAGTCACAAACTTCAGCAGCGGAACAGGAGATTATCTTTTGGGCAGTTCTAGACAGTTCCCCACCCGGATCAAGCAATTCTTTTTTTTTTTTTTTTTTTAAGATTTTATTTATTTATTTATTTATTTATTTATTTATTTATTTATTTGACAGAGAGAGAGAGAGAGAGAGAGACAGCGTGAGAGGGAACACAAGCAGGGGGAGTGGGGGAGGGAGAAGCAGGCTCCCCGCTGAACAGGGAGCCCGATGCGGGGCTCGATCCCAGGACCCCGGGATCATGACCTGAGCCGAAGGCAGATGCTTACCTGACTGAGCCACCCAGGCGCCCCAAGACTTGGCTACTTTGAAAGGCAACTTAAATTCTTATAATTTCGATTTTTAAATATAACTTGAAATTCATGAAAGTGGAAGGCAGGACCAAGTGGGGAAAAGCCTTAGCTCCTGTCTCACCTGCCCTGTGGAAACAGCATGAAATGAAAATGCAGGATGGAATGTCCCTGGGTCCCCCCGTTCTCCACCTCAGGAGCCTGGGCTTCTACCCCCTCTTAGAACCAAGTCCGACTTCTTTTAGCCGACAACCATTTCACACTGTGTGTTAGTGTGCTAGGGCTGCCATAATGAAGGACCACAAAGTCGGGGGTCCTGGAGGCCAGAAGTTCGAGACGACGGTGTCGCAGGGTTGGTGCCTTCTGAGGGCTGTGAAGGAGAGTCAGTCTGTTCCAGGCCTCACCCTTGGCCTGGTCGATGGCTGGCTTCTCCCTGTGTCTTCACACTGTCTGCCTTTTCTGTGTGTCTGTCTCTGAGTCCCAATTCCCCGTTTTGGTAAAGACACAATCACACTGCATCAGAGCCCATCGTGATGACCCCCTTTTCATTCATCTACACCTCTAAAGTCCCGATCTCCAAATAAGGTCACATTCCGAAGTCCTTCGGGTTAGGACTTCAACATATCATTTTTGGTGAGATGCAATTCAATCCATGACACACTGTTTAAGGGATAAATAAGAAATCCCCATTTGCTCTAACCTCCCCCTACCCCCGCCAGACTGACGAGATATTGGGGTTTGTGGACATCGTGAAAATACGAAACTCTCTGACTTCCCATCGGCCGCCAAAGAGCAGCCACAATGGAGAGCGATCTTATAAGGTGCCCCTGCCAAGTATCTACAGTCACCTCTAAGATACTATGAAATAAATTAGTTTCAAATGGAGAGGGGCACTCTGTTTTCATCTCCTACTGTTACACAGGGGCTAGTCTGGTGGAACCTGGAGTCTCTGAAAATATACCAGTTCTATTTCAAAGAGTCAGAACTTGGCCTTCCTAAGAGGAGAGCTGAACTCCTTTGAGCATGGACCCAAGAGGTGTGATGGCCTGGGGTCACCAGCTAGTGATGTGGAATCCAGGGCCCCAGGGGCCAGCCCAGTATTCTAATGAGGGGATGTGGGGCAGAGCGAGGCTGCACATAACTCCTCGGATGACTCCACGAGAAGTAAGAAGTCTCCAGGCCATCTTGTGAGGATCACTCCTCAGTTCAGTCCCACGGAGGCTGGAGAGCTCCTACACATCCCTCTTTTAGAACCAGCTGTAGGGGGATCCAGGAATCTCCAGTCTGGATCTCTGAAGAAATGTATCTTATCAACCAGCATCCGGACAATGCTTCTAGTAACTGCACCGCTTTGGAATCAAGGCACCCAGGAGAGAAGTCCACCTGTGTCAGCGGAGGGTTGACACTCTGATTCCAAGTTAGTGCTAACGAGTAAGGGCTTGGGTGCCATAGTCATGCAGATTCCAGTCCGAATCCCAGCACCACCACCTGCCTGGTATATAGCTGGGACCCACGACTTCATCCTGACTCCGGGAAAATTCCTACCTCTCCCAGGCGGCATATGGATGAGCATCCATAATGCATCTGCATTCCTTCCTAACCAGCCAACACAGAGCCGGCCTCAAGAAGGGTCATTTTTGTTAGTTATTCCTTGGCAGAAAGGCATTTGTTGCATGGTGAACCTATGGACGGGAGGTCGTTTTCAAACAAATGAAAACCAAACAAAACTTGATTTTCATTTTATCCAAAGTTATCACAGAATGAATAAACATAAAGCGCTGTCAAGAGAGGCGTGTGGAGGATATGTTCTCTTGCCCCCAGATACCACTTTACTCTACTCCTGCAGGCCATGAACTGTCAGAATCTATCAAGGACAACAATTTAAGAATGCCACCTATGGCCACCCCAGTGGGCTTCTTGTCTTGGATCCATCGATCTTGGAAAGCCACTCTCCTAGGACAAAGGAAAATAGATGGGCTGTCAATACACGTACCAATTTCTATTGAGAAGATTCTGGTGAATTAAATAATGATCCTAGAAGAAACCCCCCAGTAGGTAATGAGGATTTGGTTTCCATTTTGAAGAACATGAATCCCTTCCAAGGAGGCAAGTCTCTCTGAATGCTCTGTCGACGTTCCACATCATTGTTACCTTTGTCTTCACGAGGTCAGCAGGTCAGGTTACCATCGCTCCAGTACGCAGGGGAAGAAATCAAGGCTCATGGGGTCAAGAGATTCCCAGGGTCCCACGGCAGAGCCAAGAGCAGGACAGGGGCCTCAGCCACTGCACTGGCCCAGTCCTCTCCACTGTTCCAGACTGTTCCAGAGTGTTCTACGCTGTTCTACTCTGTTCCATGCTATCACACAGTTCCACACTGTTCCACGCTGTCTTCCTCTGCGCCTTGGGGCCCAAAGCAGGGGTTCTTGCCAAACTGTGCCCCTCAGTTTTCAGGCATATCCCAAAGGTCTAAGAGATTTGTAGAGCTCTTTTGTCTTTACTGTTAATAAGAGGGATTGCCCTCTGTCCATGTTTAACCTTAGTAACGTCCACAAGTCTCTCAGACACAAGAAAGGAAGATGGGCAGCCGAAATGCAAATGTTTGTAGAAAAAAAAAATACAGGGAGCCTCCTTAGTCATCACCTCTGTGTCAACGAGTTTATTAGAGATGTGTCAAGGAGAAAGACCCCTGAGGGATCACAGGTGAGCCCCTCATTTCACAGATAGGGACGTTTCACAGATAGGATAGCCTCCTATCTCTGAGCCTCAGTTTCCCCACCTGATAAAGGAGGAATAATAAAAATACCACCACCAACCTCAAGGGGCTATGAAGCGAAATGAGGCCCTTTGGGGAAAAGGCTTAGAACAGGGCCTGCCTGGGTCCAACTGCTCAGCAAACAGGTTCACTTGTGCCCCACCCCCCACCCACATGCTCCATGACTTACAGCTTTCTAGAAACCGAAGTTGGCATTTAAATTAAATCACCATTCTCAGATAGGCTGGGTTACTTGGAACAATCCACAGCAAAGAGAGGGGGATTTTGTTCTCTTGATGGTCACTCTCTATCCATTCGTGGTTGGGGAGAGGATGCCATTACGCTCGGTGGTCCTGGCCATCCTGGGGGTCTGGCCCTGTTCCTCTAGGGGAAACAGTGCTCCTGGTGGCTCTGCGAAGGTGGACTGTCCTGTAGGCAATTGGCAGCCAGAGATGTCCCTGGAAATGGGGCAGTACTTGGCCTCCTGATGAGCTCACGAGCAGCCAGCAACTGCCTCCAGCCCTAACACACCCCAGAATAGCATGGGGTGTGGCCCTGCCCCTTCCCTTTTTTGGATTTGGGTAGAGACCCCTGGGCTTGACAAGCTCCCTGGTAATCTCCTTCATGCATTCAGTGAGCCCACGATAAGAATCTATTTTCTTGGCTGGAATGGCCACCTCTCCCTCCATTCTCCTCCCCTTTCCAGGTGACCAACTGCCACAAAACTCAAGTCTGTGAGTCCCAGCTCTGACCCTGACTTGGTGGGATTCTAGCAGGGTAAGTGAGAAAAGCTGGATGCAAAAAGTGTTATTCATAGGACCTTAACTTTGTGACGTAGGCAATGGCCCCACAAATCCCCACATGTAAGTTTCAATTACATTTATGTAAGAAAATGCATGGAAGCACATCTAGAGCTTAGACGATTAGGTACAAGATCAATCAGACTAGCCACAGACACACATTAGTGAACAGACAAAATCGAGTTAGAACTGTGTGTACTACTGTCTTACAAGGAGGGCGGAGAGATCGATCACCAAGTGCAACATGCAAGGTGCAGACCACCCCGGCTGTCCTCATGTACAGCATGATCCTAGCTCTGTGAAAACAAAAACACAAACTAGAACTCTGAGCTCCATGCCAGCTTCTCTGCGGACCCTCGCTGACCTCCCCCCAGGCTAAATCAGCCCCCCTAGCCCCCCAGCTGGCCGTCTGTCCTGTGGCCCTCTGTCTTCCTCTCCCCTACCCCCTTGTCCCTCTGTGTACACTCCGAATCATGGGCTGCCCCATGAGGGGCAGGCCCTCCACACATGCTTGGTGAGGGAAGGACTGGCCATGAAGTCCGGCCGTGGGTGGCAAGGCCTTGGGTAGCGGGGTGGGTCCTTGCAGAGATAGGCATTGGGCACCAAGAGTGAAGACTTGCCCTCCCATGGCTCGTCATCCAGAGAAGTTGGGAGCAAGAGCGGAGACCACATCATCCTCTGCTCACATATTTGCCTGGCTGAGGGCTACTCAGTCTTCTGATCATTCTCACCCAATGGCAGATACCAGTTTGGAGCCATTTGAACCACACTTAACTAGAAGGCTGAGGATGCCAGAAGGAAAAAAGAAAATAAACAGAATACAGTTTATCATACTCAACTTGGGGTCCTACATAGGGTGCCTTCCTGGTTATCCTGAAGCCACCTCTGGGGATGAAGGTAGAAACCCATCTTTCTTCTTCCAGGAGCCCCTTCCAGCCCATAGAGACCCCTCAATATCTAAGGGAACAAGGTCCAGAGAGAGAAAGTTAGAGACACCCTTTCCTGTCCAAAGCCACTTCTGGCTCCCAGTGTCCTAAGAAGTAACACCCCAGAAGATTGAGAATGGGAGAGTAACCCACCTCAGGGGGATCCCTCCAAAGTTGTAGACTTACCCTTAGGACAAACACAACAGAATATGACACAAGAAGCCCACCACACATACACTCACACACACACACACACACAATCAAAATCAAGCCATGCAGTAGAGGGGCTGTTAGGAGACTGGGGCCCCTTTCCTCCCTAGGTGCAGCTGAGAGGCAGATCTGTACCTAAGACAAAGAGGTAGCACAGCACACAGGGGCAAGAGTCCTAGAGGGCAACACCTGCTTCCCTGAGTGTAGCTGGAGTGGCAGAAAGTTCCTGGGGGGCAGAGTTGAGAAGGAAGGAGGCTAAGCAAGCAGACCAGATGGAGGCTTGGCAGAGCCCACAGGGTGGGAGAGAGCAGAGAGCTATCACCCCAAGGTTCCACCTTATTTCTGCAGCTGTCTGGGACCAGACCCCCTCTTCTTTGCCATTCTTTTTCTTCTCCTGCTCTATCAGAACTTCACTCTCACCTGGTTCCCAGTCACCACCCCTTCTTCTTTGGCACCAGAACCTTGGTTTTATTTAGGATTATAATGGGCTGAGATGTATGATTACATTCCCCCAGCATCCCTTGAAACTAGGTTTAGCCACGTGATCAATAAGTTCTGGTTAATAAGACCAAAGACTATATAAAGCATGCTGACTTGGCTGGGTTGTGTGCTTCTTTGCCCTCTGTCATATTTTCCCCTACCACTTGGAATGCAGGTCTAATGGCTGGAGCTCCAGCAGCCATCCTGGACTGTGAGGTGATCTTGAGGGTAGAAGCCAAATACTAAGACAGTAGAACAAAAAGCTAGAGGGACTCACCAGAGCAGGCCTGGCACTGCCTATCCCCAGATTTCTTTTACAAGAGAGGGGGGGAAATATATCTTGTTTCAGCTACTATTATTTTGTGTTTTCCATTTTATTCAGGGGAACCAAATCCCCACCCAAAGGGGAAGAGAGCTCTTCTTGTTTTATGTGGTCAAGGGTGGGTCAGGCTCAGGGAAACATTTTTCCTAGTTAAAAAATGCAGACAAGAGTTACATGCAAACAAGGGTTGGGGCTGTTTCAATTACATATTGTAATAGAATAAACTACCTCCACACACAGCAGCTTGAAACTATCATTTTATTATTTCTCAAGACCCTGAAGGTTAACAATTTGTTCTCAACCACCCAGGAGCACTGTCAATGGACGCACATGGACAGCACCATCCAGCCAAGGATGGAAAATTTTCCCCGGTGCAAAAGTGAACAAAAGCAGTTTGCAGCATGAAAGCAATTGCTCAAGCCTGATAACAGTCCTGGGGGGGGGAAGTCCAAAATGAGACATGGGAGGCCGCTTAGTGTGCTGACGCTCTGTGGGGCCTCATGCATGCCCAGCAGAGGAAAGTGAAAGCTTTGACTTCACAGCAGCCGGGAGTCAAATCCCACAGCATTTGGCAGCCAGTGATAAATGGAGGCTGGCTGCAGGCAAGTTCTGTCCATCTGAGGCTGCGTGGTAATCTAGGAAAGAAAGATGGCCGTCAATGGGAGCTTCCCCTCCCCCAAACAGGAAAAGAGAAGAAGAGAACGGGAACAGGGCTCGGTTACCATATCCACTACGGACATTTAGTTTCCTAAAATTTGTAGAAGTATCTGTAAAAAGATACATAGCAGAGACATTTGTTTTTGCAGCAAAACAATCTGAAGGTGATGAAGGAACATGAGGGCTGGGATTCATTCATTCATTCATTCATTCATTCATTCTAAAAGTACTTACTTGAGACTTTATATGTCCCAGGCACAGTCCTAGGCCCTGAGAACAAAATATTTGCAATACAATTTTATGTAGGAAAGAAAACAAAGCTCACAGGAAAAGTGGTGCAGTCACTGAAGGGTCATAGGTCAGGGAAGGCAGCTGGGAGAAGAGGACCTGCAGAAATGTGAATAACCTGCTACCCTGTGGGTGCCCCAGGGAGAAGAGACTGCAAGAGCAATGGTGTGAGGCAGGGATGAGGCTGGGTGTTGCTGTAGGGTCGACAGAGCCTGTGTGGTTGGAGCACAGTAACTAAGGGCTATGGAGGGAAGCAAGACAAGGAGTCTGAGGGGCAGGCAGAGCCCCACGTACCCACAGGGTCTCTCTCCATGTGGCTAACAAAGGTGTTGGACTTCAAAATGGCAGCCGGTTTCCAAGCACAAAAGTTCAGGGGCAGGATTGGGTGGAACTTTTGGGTGCATGGATTTAGTTGAGTATGTTGGCAAGCCTCGAAAAGCTTTGAGTGAGAAGGACGAACCTGACCCAACTTACATTTTGTTAAGAACTGGGGTGGCCTCCGGTGTTCACTGGAGGAAGTTTGGGTGTTGGTCATTTGTCCTCAAGAAAGTGAAGACTAAAGGGTCAGACCAGGCCACTCCTAACATGGTGGGGGTGAGGGGAGAGGAAGAGGAGAAAGAAGGCCCCATGGCCTGCATCCCAGTCCCTTTTCCCACTCCCAGCAACAAGGCCTCACACACATGCATGGGCGGGGGCGAGCTCTGGGAGGGACGCATCCCCTTGGCCCCAGGAACTCCTCTCCCCGTGGAGAGGGATGCAGCCAGAGCAGGACTGGAGTGGGGCCCCTAAAGCCTGGACCCAGAGCAAGTTGCCTGAGCCTGAGCATTCAGAGAGAGTTCTGGTTCAAACCATGACTGC